TTTCCCTCTGGTTGCTTAGGTTGAAGAGGTAAAGACTCAATTAAAGTATACCTTAAAAGATTAATTTTCAGAAACAATTACTGAAATACACTGCCCTAACAGTACATTAGGCACATTTAACAAAAAAGCCCATATACACCAACCTCTAACGTAAGGCTTTTCCAGAAAAATCAAGAATCCCATTGCTCTATGCATCTGTTCAATGATTGTATCTGCTAAGTATCCCATTTGGTCCAGACACCCGCTAAAATGTTAATTACAGAACTCAAATACAAGTGCATGCATTAGTAAGTAACTATGCTTGGAAGACTGTACACATTTGTTTTAGCTGAACACACTGGTAGGAACAGCAGAAGGTTTGCCATCCCACATCCCAGGCAACAAAAATGACCAAAAAAAATTGCCAAATATCTTTATTTTTCTTTCATGATTAGAATCTTTTTATACCCTGGGGAGGATGAGATATCATGCTCAGCTGTCCTTGGAAAATGCTGAAAATTGCCCCCCACTGCTGCCATAACAGATGATGCCTTTCTGTCAAACTTATATGTGATTCAAGTCCAAACAACACAGCATTTTGGGTAATGGATGCTATAATTAAAATGTGAGTCCTAAAAAACCTGTTGTTTTAGTGGGTGTTTTTAGTAATGGCTTTGTTCTACATGAAGATAAAAACTCCCTAACAAAGGAATTAATGTATTGCTTTAATAGGCTGCACCCTGAGTTAAGTTTTAAAATTTATGAGTTCTCTGCAGCATTGTTCTTTAAACAATGGCATTGTCAAATGCAACCAGTGAGAAGATTAAAGTTCTCCCAGCAGATTAAGTACAAATTATCTGTCCTCCTGTTTCAGCATCATTTGTTCATTTATCACATAACGTCTAGTATTTCTGGTCAGTGTCAATATGCTCTGCATCCTTGCAGTTAACAGATGTCTTCTCTTGTCGAACGAATTACTTTATGTTTCACGCACTGGTGGCCGCAGATGTGTCACTATAGCAACATCATTAATTTCAGATCTTACCGGAAACATGCACTCCAATCAAACCTAATTATACCACATTGCTTTCTTGTCCCACAATAAGGAAACTATAATGCAATTATTGGGATACTTCATTTTCTATTATACTGTGGCAAATGAGAGAGCCACTGTGATGGACGCTTCTTGTCAAAAAGCTTATTGATGAAGCACAAACCCAATTTACAATCATACAAAGGACTACCTTGCAATTATGTTAGTAATGCAATGCTCCTTAGACTTGAGAACTAATTCTCAATCATTTCCAGTGAAGCCTGGACCACAATATAAGATTTCTGCAGACAGTTCTCTGGATTCCCTTCCATTTTCAGCACTGAGAAAAAGTCACCTGTTTACACTGAACTAGACCAGCCTTTCAGTGCTGCTTTTAAGTAGCACCCACTTAGACAGCTACAAAACTGGCTCTCTTCTTCCTCCTCTGAGAGCCAAGCCTTAAGTGGCCAGAACAACAGCATGGAGTGGTTTATATAATGAGAACTGAAAAGTCAAGGGAGAAATTACTGAGGTTGGCTATCATGAACAGTGTATAATCATGCAATGTCCATCATGGATTAATTGTACAGACATTGTTCATTACCTAACAGTATGTTTCACACTTATCATAAAATGCAGAATAAGAACAAATGTATTCAGGAAAGGAAACTGGAAGCAGCTACTAAATCACTTGGGTAAAAAGTATGTTGTCTACGTGTTTGTCCAGAATTAAAAATAGCTTAAAATCTGCAGGGCAATTAAGATTAATAAAACAGAGCAGTGTTTCCCATCTCTGTAAGGTCACAGTCAGTGGTCTGAAGCTAGTGAGGTCTGCAGGACTCCTGGCTTACTGTCACTTGTATCAACCTTTAGCTAATTGTTGGATAAAAATGCACACGGTAAGACCACTGACACTATTTCTTTCCAAAACACTTTGGAACTACTGCCCTAGAATATGGCCTTTACTTTCATTTTTACATTATTAGTGTAGAGATTTAGACCTTCCACCAGAAGTCAGTAGACTTCAGTCCTCTGAAAAGGCTTTGAAGTTGAATGGCAGCAATCTTCCAAACTATATAAAACACATTTCCTGGTAAAAGCCTTTTAACATTTAGCCCCTTTTAAGTATGCATTCTGCAAGGACAGAATACAAACGCTGCTTCTTAATATTGAACACAGCTATGGTGATTGCAAGTGGCATGATGTGGGTTGAAAATAAACTGATTACAAGCAAAAGAGGGCTGTTTATCTTTCCACATACAACTCAATAATGTGCATCCTTTCCATGATTTATGGATGCAACACCATATTTTTGCTTTGAAAAATCCACTATCTCTAAATTTTCTGTTTATTTTTGTTTTTAAAGGAGAAAAACTTTGGGTTTAATTACTGTTCTATTAGGTTAAGTGTACTTGTTGTCTTTCTAGAAGTAGAACAGTGGCAGCTTTTTTTGTTTCATTTTCCAAATCTTCAAATTCTCAAACAGAGTAGTTTGTGGAAAAGATGATAATACACTGGTCATTGTGCCTCAGAACACAAGCTGGTCACCAGAGTCAGAAGATAATTCTTGCATTGTAAAGTTGTGTGAAGGAGTTGTCAGTGTTTTATTTAGCAAGACCTAAAATTTTCAGCACAGCCTCCCTGTAAGTAGAATACCTCAACACTTGAAATATGTTTCCAGTTTTGTATGATAACTGGAATCTCTATCAGCAAAGTTTAAAAGGTATACATTGGTGTTGCTTACCAAGTACTACTCTGGGAAAGTGAACTCTACTGCATTGTTTTGAAAATTCATTATTTTTGAACATACTTCTCTTTTTCCAAACATATGCTGTAAATTACGTATTTCAAGTCTTCAATGTGACAGCACTCAAAGTTACATAAATTATTATGATGAAGGGTGCAATTAAAATCAATAAGCAGTTTCAAATAGTATACAAATCATTAGCTAACTGAAATAAAACTTGTTAAAAGAATCGTTCACTTGCTTTGAAGAATTACCACACTATAATTAACAATACACTTTGCTACATGCTCAGAAAGACGGTGGTAGTTGACTTTGTCTTTTACAAAACAGAAGAACAGCATTCAGATGCATATAGGATAACATATGTACCTACAGAAAAAAATGAAAGCGTGTTTTGAAAAAGTGACAATATATTAAATTCACATTTCATTCCAAAATATGCAGCAATGGAAGTGTTCAGCATGGGAGGGAATATGGAACTCTTTCAAACATAAAGAGATATAAACTGTGTATTATGCTTTCTAAACTGTATAACAGAGGCCAACCCCTGCCCTCCTCAGGAGTTTCTCATGATTTTGAACCATATTTTACCTAAAACCACTAAAAGAATTCTTCAGCACTTTGAGAAACAACTCTCTGAGTTCAAAAGTTCAGCTTCTTAAAAAACCCCAGTATATATACCAGAAGTAATTGAATCAATCTTGGAAAGAACCAAGAAAGCATAACACAAGCTATTACTTCCTCACACACTTAGTACCTACCTTCTGATCCTGGTAAGGGTTGGGGGTTCCAGTATAGCAGGTCAGGTATAGTAACAGGTTACAGTTATGAAGATGAAATCATACAGTAGCTCTAGAACTGGCCTTTGTAACATAAAGAGTAACTAACTTCATCAGCATAGCAAATGTCATTTTGGAGACTGATCTTATGACTTGTTTTGGAAATGACTTGCTCTCTTGAAGGCTATTCTTAGCTGTTATTAACCATACAATATTGCAACAGAAATGAAGCGCAGAATAAAATAGCATCCTGAGTACTGTTTCAGAGTCTTTTCAGAGTAAGATATTTGGTACTCTTACTCATGCTATCCAGTGTCTTCTTACTATAGAAGAAGTGCTCCCAATGGAACAAATCAGATTACTACCAAATACTGACTTTAACATGTAATTGCTGGCCTACCTAGGCCTATCGGTACTGATAGAAATTCCTCAAGCAAGTGCTTAAAATTCTACTGAAAAACAAGAATCAGTAGTCTAAATCTACTCTTACAGTAGCATATGCAAATATAGAATAAAGTTTAGAAATTTTATAAAAGTTATCATATTTCAGAATTGTAACCTGATATACCTGTTTTATCCGTTAGTAAATAAACTAATCGTCCCAACTCTTCTGGTATGGTGCTAGTTCGAACAACTGTTCCAGGAATATTGTCATCTTTCATAATCATCCACCCATAGGCTGCCTTACCCATGTCCAAGTTCACACGTAAACTGCAAAGGAAATTTATACCATAATCAGTGTGATTATTATTAGGCAAAGTGAAAGTTATAACCATAAAAATAAAACCAGAAGCTCTTTTTAGGATACCTGAAAAAAAACAAACCTTAAACCTATGTGCACCAAAATTTTGGAACAATGCTTTTGTTACGTGTTTCTAGAGTACATATCACATTAGAAATTCAGGCTCCATCCCAGACTTTTAGAAGATATTGCAATACAAAAAAATGCAGTATCATGCATTCTGCATGAGACTGCAACACTTTGTGGATATTCTTGACATAATTACATGACCACTCTTACACAGATGAAAGTAATATATAACAAGAACCAATCACTATTCAGGTCAGTTTTGATCTGCTACAAAAAAACCAAACACCACCTATGTTCTCTTTATGATACGGAATTACAAATATTTTTGTTCCCCTTCAAGTCACTGGGTTTTTTTTAAAAACAAAACAAAAAACCCCAACATTTCTTCTCTAGGGTAGGACAACTATATTTGTCAATTTCTCTTTCCCAATAAATCAATGGTTTTGTCCTTCCCAAAATGTAGCTACAGAGGGTCCATTGCAAAAAAAGAACAATGCCAAAGCAGCAAAATGCACCCTCCTCATGTGACAGCAACTGGGCTGGAGTCTGACAGCAGCAATAAGTAACTTTAGGGTAGCTCAGTACTAGAAAAGTTGCAATTTGCAGCAGGTTTTACTGATTATACACAGAAGTGCAAAATCAAACACATTTTTTCCCAGTTCACTCTATGTCTGAGCATTTATCTGTCAATATTTCCATGTTCATATCATCCAAGAATTAACTGACTTTGCACCTTGTACTCCTATGTTATAATAAAAAAGTCTTCACTCATGTTGGTAAGAGACAACCTTAATCATATTCCTCTCCTCCAAAATTAAACGCTCCAACTCAAAACTCTACACCAGCTTGTTCTGAAATATTAAAATGCTACTTTCCTTTAGCTATTCACCACATTGCTGCTACTGCTACCATGTCAGAGGAACAGTGACCAAGGAATAGGCATGTGTTCATTTCTGTTGACTTTGCTTGAACAGAAATACTGAAAAAAGTTACGGCCAGTAGCTACACAAACTATGTGCAGCTTATTTGCCCACTCAAGAGTCTCAAGTTGAGCAATAGATTTACAGTAAACATGACTCCTAAACCAGTTCAGAGGTATATATCAAGGTCAAACTACTGCTAATGCACTTCAGGCCTTTGTTAACAGTCCTAAAGTGCTGTTTTGCAGCATAACCAAAAGAGCAGGCACGAAGAGTTTTCATGTCGTCTTGCAATCACAGCAACAGATTGTGAATTACCTGAGGTAACAGTGAAGGAAACAGTGAATCACAAACCGCACTATCCCATAAAGAAGAAATGCATTTAACTAGAATTATGAGAATATCTGAAATTTCAACACACACATCTCATCCTTCCTGAAGGATGTACAGTAGAAGACAATGCATGTTGCTGTGCAAAACAGAAACATACCTTTTTAGATACAAGATTCTTGACCATTCAAGATGGTATTTTGTGCTTTAACTACCTCTTATTTTCCCACTGAAATCAGGAGCAGTAATAAACCATCCTTCTATCTAGTGATATACCCCAATTAGTTCTGCAATATCATCCCTAACTTCATCTGCCTTCAGACA